TAAGATTCTTGAGATACGTTGACCTAGCACTGTAGATGCATTCGTAGTAAGAATCGCATTCTCGACGATACAGTTCCCTGTCAACACAAAGCCCTGACTTGATCATACAGCGTTCCGCCCGGCGCCTTCGTCTCTTTGCCTCCCGCACGTCTTCGGTAAACCAAGGCGCTTTAGGTCTAATTGTGACGGTTTTGACTTGAAGAGGAGCATGCCTATCAATCAAAGTACCCCAAAAGTGGATGGAAGATCAGTTTAATGTCGTTGCGTAGAGAGTCCATATTGATGCTTCGAAATTTTCTGAAGCTCACTTCCTTCTTCGGGTTCTGGGGCCTGGTGAGGCTAACTGTAGCAACTAGTGCACAATGATCGGAAGGGAGTGAAGACAACAGCTTCACATGGTCGATGTCGTCTGAATCTCTGGTGAATAATAGGTTAAGGGTATGGCCTGCTCGATGAGTAGGTTCATGGACATGCTGCTTAAACCCAAGAGAATCAACTCCGCCCATGAAGGATTTTGCAAAATTATCATTGGGATCGTCAACATGTACGTTAAAATCACCTAAGAGTAGAGGGAAGTGATCGGTTACAGCAGCACCTTCAAGAAGGGTTAAAAATTCCTCCCGAAAGGTGCTGTTAGAGACATTGTTACTTGTGGAGGGAGGACGATAAATAAAGTACAATCTAGCAGCAGAAGATGGGGTAAGGTTGATTATTAAATCAAGTAATTCAAAGGAAGAAAAATCATTATTGGAATTTACAGTACAACGAGCTGTGGATCTATAAAGTACAAAAATGCCACCACCCCGAGAAGACTTACGGGGTCGGTGAGTAAAATCATGAATAAAAACAGTTATAACTCCGCGTTATAATCACATGGCGACCCGTACGGGCTGTTAAAGATAAACTTTAGTACTGGTAATGCGATTGCATTGTGAAAGAAAAAGTGTGGAAAGGATCAGAAGCAGTTGATCATGTAGCATGTAAGTATTGGTGTGCACTGCAAGGTTCTGGAGTCATCAAAATCATAATAAATTTGACCGAGTCTTGGTAAAGTAACAAGCACATACACAGAAAGCTATGTATGGGACAACACGCATGGTGTCGGGGTTGGTACTACCTTGATTCCTTGTCTTTCTATGCTCATTACTCAGCCAGTATACATTTTCTTCCAAAATTGTTTGGCACATGTCATTTATTTGTAATCTTGAACATTCAGTGTAAGTTTCGTTTGATTCTGTGAGAAATAATTTTCTTTTTTTTACCAGTACTCAAGTTTATCTTTAAGATAGGGATACGCCCTAGGGTGACCCTGAGGCCACCGTAGATTCTCTACGGCCGCCGCAAATATCTCTCGATTTCGGGGGCGTACGGCCGCCGTCTCCTAGCCGTAGAGCAAATGTGACCTAAGCATTATATTAGTTATTACTGTAAATAGTTTTTACCCATGAACACACGCACAGCTCTTATTTCTCTCTCTCTCTCTCTCTCATTTACACAAATCTTCTCTCTATCTCTCACACATACAAACACTCATATTAAATTCCTAGATTTACACTTGAACAGATACACATATTATGCCTATCACTGTTTTTTAATGACATGCACCTGCACACTGTTGCCCATGATCTCTTGATCTCTTTTTTAATGAAATAATTCTGAAAATATGATTTATTATTTATAGATGAAGATAAAGTTTACATATTCTCAAAGTTTTAAAGATCGTAGAGATTAAGCAGATATAAATTTTATCAAGAGAAAAATTTCATAATTATTTTTAATGAAAGGAGGTAAAAGCAAAATCTTCCAAACTTATCGGCAACGTTGTATGCATTACTAAAAAAAAATCGTTCCAATGCATCTTCATCTCTATATCTCTCCCTCTTTTCTGTGTTGCCTTCCTGTGACTATCATTAAGGGAAATAATACATGAATATATAATAGTGGTTTATCAAAAGGTAATTTTATGATAATAATGACACAAAAACGATAATAGTTTTAAACTATTGATTGATAAGACGCAACCGTGTGACATACTTTTTGAGTAAATGGAACATACTCGATCACTGTGCAATGAATTTTGTTAATCTTTGATTTCCAACTTTAATTCAGACATACAATACAATACAACGTATTCTTGTTTTAATTTCAAAGTCAACCAAGCTATTTCCCGTTCACAGCTTTCATATCCATTCAAGCAATGCAGTGTGATAGATTTCACATCTTTGCATGTACATGAACGATGACCTCAGGATTTAAGACTAACAATACAATAACTACAATAAAGTCTACAAATTGGTTTTGAAATGACTTAATTATTTGATAAGTGATAAGTATAACGTCTCTATTATGACAACGGAAAGCTGTGATGCACTATATATAAAGTGATGTCATATTTTATCTAGCAGTTGGCAAACAATTAACAAATCTTGTTCACAATCATTTGCAAACACTTGCTTGCATTCCGATGTGTAAGATATTACCTCCTGATCTTTAATAGGAGTACGATCAAACATATCAGTAATATTTATGCGATGGTCGCCGAAATTATACCCCAAGAAAAATATATCACACGTACAATAATTGCAGTTTACTAACTGATAATCAATAATATACTTTTTTATTTATTTACTCGTTAAATATATCTATAATGCACTTATAGTTAACGCAATAGTATTATACATTTGACCCAACCCCGCCCCGGTTCGATTGGCAGCAAATGCGAAATTTGACCCAATATGGGCGGTTTTCTGCTCTTATAACATACAATGAATGAGTTATATGAAATGTAAAATTTACAGCATTTTCCATAAGAGTGGTAACATAATACAATACACGATCAAAACGGGAAAAAAATACTCGCAGCTAATCCAATGCAACGATTTCAGTAGCTTATAACAGTTATTGTAACTTTTAATAAGCTCAATAACACGGATGTGACGTGGGGATGACGTATGGCTCTATTGAATGTGTAAATACCTTCGGTTCAAAGTTGGTTCTCATTGTCTTGTTTGTTTATAGTTCGATAAACTATAAGGTTATTCCATGCATTGTGTTCCTTTCGACTTTGAACATTTATCCAATTATTTCTTTTACAAATAAAAATATCTTAATATGACTTTTGACCATTAGCTCTTTCTGGTATCATCACGTTTATGAAATGGTCATATCTGGATGTTTTTTTAATTTTTGAATGAAATTAAATGGGAAAGGGCATTTAGGAGACACACTATTTAAAAAAAGGTTTTCATTGGTCAATTCTAGATTATTTACTAATTCATTCATCAAATCGCAGAAAGTTATTTAATATTAAACATAAACTCTAACTTACATGTGAAGCGGTATACTACATATACACAAAATTATTCCAAGAATAAGTATGTCTGAATGATACAAGTTCTATCGATGAATGTACAAAAAAAAGTCCCGTATATATACATTTTTTTTTACTGCTTGATCGTTTTGTACGTTGAAGCAACAATGGTTTATTTTCTCAATTTAACAGTTAGGCCTACTGTATTTTGGATTCTTGATTAGGATAATCGAGGACGAATTCAAACACAAACTAGATGGATCTTCGACTGCGATGCCTCCACCACGAAACAATTTTACAAACCAAAACAGAAGCAATTTTAAAAATTTGATTTGATTGTAATCCATTAAAGGTACTATGTCCCTTTTGCAGCCAACCTCAAATGCTGTAGAACTTTGCAGGAATTATGAATATGTCATGTACGTCCTATCTGTGAAATTTAAACGTTAGCAGTGTCCTCATATTCAAATTATGCAAGGAAACCCGTTTACTTCCTAGTCTTCACTGTCAGACACACTGAGTGACTGACTGGCTTTTTTTCTTCTTTGGTAATAACATACATGAAAAGAGTTGTAAAGGGTACATGAGCATTTGTCTACATCAATAACCCACTTCTTGTGATGGTCAAGATTAAACTGATTGAATCTTTGCGCAGCATAAAACGTATGACCATTCGGTACAATTGTCTGAAAATCAAGACTATTACTTTTGGGCTCTATAGCCCTAAAGTCGATTTGACAACTAATAGTCGTTATTTTCCCACTTGAAGACATTTTTAAAGGTAAAGACCAGTATTGGAAACGCCCCAATTTCAAAAAATGAAATGGAAGTCTCATTACCAATCATGTGAAAGAATATGTTTTGACTAATACATGATGATAAAAAATTTGCTGGGGAAATCGCCTACTAATTCATATATTTGGTAAATGTGTTTCTCTCATGGTCTGTGAGAGATATAGGGTAGTCCCATATACATCTTTCTGTGTATAGTGCTTGTACCTTTACGAAGAATGGGCCAAATTTCTTATCATTTTGATGATTCCAGAACCTTGCAGATGCTAGATGCTAGATGATCAACCTTTTCTGATCGATTCCACAACGTTTCTTTCACAATGCAATCGCATGACCATAACTGGTCTTTACCTTTAAGCCCCAACTTTTTAGGGAAGTTCTAAATTAGTATTATCTTTCAAATGCAGTTGGAATTTAACTTTTTCATTTTTTGGCCTGTAAATGGGACATAGTACCTTTAACAGGTTCTCAGAATATCATGATTACAATTGTTCACATACATGTTTGACCCTTTGACCTTAGACCTTTGACACTAAATTCTAAACAGTTCATTGTCTCTACAAGATACATACATGTCCTATTGAAAATTGACAAGTTTTGTATAAATGAGCCCCTCAAGACCTTTGACCTTTGACCTAATGACCCCAAAATCCAATCAGTTCATTGAATCTGCAAGATACATACATGACACAAGTTTGGCGGTAATCCATCAATCGGTTCTTGAGATAACGCGATCACGAGCTTTTTTTGCATACATAATGAGCCCTGTGACATTCGACCTTTGACCTCGTGACCCCAAAATCTAATCAGCTCATTGGCTCTGCAAGATACATACACGACCTAAGTTTGGCGGGAATCAATCAATCAGTTCTTGGGATAACGCGATTACGAGAACGGGACGTACGGAAGGACGGACAACCCAAACACAAAATGCCTTCAGCTACTTTGTAGCGAAGGCATCACAAATTAAATGATTTCAAATAATTAAATTTACAATGTGTGTTTCTTTCTGATAACATCAGCACGGCATCTCTATTGAAAATATCATGAGAAATTACGTCAAGAGAAGGTGTAGTTGATTTCTACTTCATATAATGTTCGACGGTATACATGTCGACAGTTGGTAATGAAATGCCGAACATCTTAAATATGAAAAGTGAATGAAAGGACTACCGGAGAAGGGAAATAAAGTTGTCTGCGATAATATTAGGACAGCCTGTATGCTCACCAAATGCTATCAAGTTTCAATTCTAATGCAAATCATTCAGGTTGAAATTCGCCATGTTATTAGCTTCTTCCGACCATGCTGCATATCGCGCCCCGTCCATCTCTGAAGCAACCCTATTGCCATCTGTCAGACGGTGATTGGTGCCCCCAATTCCTTGACCACAGTCAGGGCACTTGCCCGTCTGTGAGGCCCCACCGCATCCCCCAATGGCGTACAAATGCCCGTTGGGGCATTTAAACCAATGACCTTTGGCCAGACCCATGGCGGCGACTATATCCTTCCTCTCTTTCTCGCTAATTCCCAACCCACCGGACTTGGAAACGATCATCTTGAGTAGACTTTTGACCTCATCTGCACGCTGGGCAGTCATGGCCTTCCCGTCAAAGAGTTGAAGCTCGGCGGCCTTTACCTGTTGGCTGGCTTTGTCATGAGCAGCTGGTTTCTGGACCAGGATCCGGAAGAAATTCAGGGCTAGGTGGAGCCTCTTTGCTTCTCTGTTGGCGTCATCGGTCTGCTGCTGGGACATCCTGTTGATGGGTTCTTGGCACAACCAAGTCTGCAGGACAACTATCTCACTCTTCATCTGATTAACGTACTGCTGATTTAGGGATGGAGATCGCAGCGATCGCAATGCTTCAGCCACGTCTCTCATTTCCTCCAGAAAACGGACTCTATTTTTCAAAGCGGTGATTTGTCCATGGCTCAACGCAGACGTCGAACTGACCATGCCGTGGAATCGGCGGGCATCCATCGTTTGAAGGAACAGTTTCTCATCGCTTGCGATGGCGAAAAAATCCATGTTCTCCTCAACTTCTCGAAGTTTTTCTTGTAGGTTTCGACGGAGATAGTGGATTGTGTTTTCGTCGCCGAAGATATTTCTTTTAACAGCATTTATATCATTCAGTGCTTGTTTGATGAGGTTTCCGAATCGCAGATTACGTCTGATCGGCGTTGTGCACCATGGACACTCTTTTAGCTTCCAAATGAAACAAAAAGATTAAGATTTTTTTTAGTATGATAAAGCATTGTCGTTTCAATTCCTCTTAAATGTAGCATTTACTTGCGTTTTGAAAAATAAGTCGGGATAGACATTGTCATCTACTTGTGCTTCTTTCTTTTTCTGTTTTTATTGAAGCAATGAAACCAAGATTAATTAGATTACGTGAAAATATCTTAGGCTAAAGATGCAAACTCTAATTATTTTTAAATTGTGCAAATACAAAATAGAAAGTCGTCAAAAATTTCCTTTAATCAAAATTATTTTCCAAAGTGTTCTCAGTGTAAATGTATACAGATGACATGAGTCTTCGAAGGAGCTGAAGAAAGAAGTTATTAAACGACAAACACTTCTTGGCTACCTTAATGGAGGTCGCCTCTGACGTTTCCTTGCTTCCACTATCCGTCTTCATCCATTGGTCCAGGGCATTCGCTTCAATCACGTGTTTACAGTCCTCTAACTCCACAAACCTAAACAGGAGAGATGATATGGACGAACCGTCTTATTTACGTGACTGATGTATTTCAATTCATTTGTCACCACTAAAAAAACAAATTGTGTTAAATCATTGAAATCTGTAAATTGATAGCACACGTAACTAAAGAGTAAAGGTTAGATTTGTGTATTATACGTGTGTTGTCGTTAGTTATCATCATTCTCTCTTTTTTATCTTTTTTGTTGCTTATCGACAAAGCAAGCATTTGCAAGTAAATCTCACCGAGCATTATCGTCGTCTTCGTCGCCAAAGAGGATCATAGTAACTTCCTCCTTATCACAGATTCTGCACTTCTTGGGGCATGGTTCACCACAGAGTCCGATGCAAGGGTGACCACACTTCAGCAGGAGTGTACAAGGGTCATTACAAGCACGTCTGTCGCATGGTTTTCCACATTGTGCCCCACAGCGAAAATGTTGACATCGCCAGATGCACCTCTCTGCACACGGGACACAAGGTTCTCCACAATTTTTCTTGCATTTGCTATGTTGACATCTGTTCTCGCACTTCCTTGAGCACGGTGGACAATCCGCAGCACATGTCGACCGGCAAGGGTGACCACAGATGAGTGTACGACCACATTTTTCTCGGCAGAATGCATGAAGACGTCCTTGGTGGCACTTGCCGCATGAGCCCTTGCATGGATGTTCACAGCTCAGAATCTTATCACATGGTTCCGAACAGGACTCGGGGCCAGCAGAGCATTTGACGAGGACATTATGGCCACAAGGAAAGTCAGATCGACGAATTCTTTCTTCGCAAAACATTGTACAGCTCTTTCCACAGGGCTCCTTGCATTCATGCCCGCAATCCAGTCTCCTGCTGCATGGAGATTCACAAATTACTTCTGAGCTGCTGTTGTAGCAAGGCACTTTCTGAAGGTGACCACAAGGCAGTGTCTTATCGACAGATTTTTTGCACTGCGTGTCACAAGGCTGGTAGCACTGTTTCATGCATCGATGACCTAAGGGGCAAATTGTCCGAGTACACTTTTGACGGCACTTGTGGTTCTCATGTTTCATGTCAGTAGTGTGGCATGGCATTCGGCAAACATGACCACATGTAAGACGTGCCTCACATGGTAAGGAACAACCTCCTTCTGGGACTTTTGAGAAATCCGCCTCACTTGATACCTCATTTTGTGTCCCAATGTGATTTCTGCACTGAAGCACAAGGGATTTTCCGATGGTACCATAGATGTTAGCGTCCTTCACGATTTCCCTCCACAAGTTTGGCCCACTTGGGTTTTGTTGTGCGAGTAGTTTGAAATTTCCGATGCAGTAGAGACCCTTTTTTGCTCTCGAGAGCGCTACGCAGATTCTGTTGTCGATCTTTAAGAAACCAATACTTCCCTCCTTGTTGCTGCGAACGAGAGAGAGTAGAATTATGTCGTTTTCCTCTCCCTGGAAGTTATCAACTGTTGCAACTCGGACACCTTCAAAGTCACTCTTTTTCATCCTACTCTTGAAGGCAAAGAGTTGACCGGAATAGGTAGTCAAGATGGTGATCTGCTCTGGAAGGTAGCCCTGCTGCAAGAAGTACCTACAAAGTCCTACCAAGAACTTGGCCTCGTGAATGTTGGAGTGACTCTTAATTTCATCCACAAAGTCTTCTGCTATTTCATGATGAATGAAGAAGATGTTCTTCATAACCCCATGGATATCATCAAACACCCTCACAGAGTCATCATCTTGGAGATATGGGTACAATCTTTCCATCCTCATGAGTCGAGAAATTTCAGGCCTCATCCTATGCTGTATGATCAAGCGCTGATGAGGAACCCCATTGTTGATCATACGTTCAAACAGAGATATGTCCAGGTTATACTGCGTAGCTAATTTGAAGACCGTAGGACTTGGCCGAAGTTGTTGGTGATCTCCGATCAATATCAGATGTTGACATGACTCAGTCAATGCAGTCACAATATGGGCTTCTAAGACCTCTGCAGCTTCCTCGACCACCACAATTCTCGGCTGGATTCTCTGAAGTAGCATATGGAACTTTGCAGCTCCAGTCGTTGTCATTCCAACGACCGAGGCATTTTTGAGGATCTCAAAATCTTCTTGACTGCGTGCCTCGCGTAGCTCCTGACAAACATTTGTGAATTGCCGTTGCATATCCACGAGCTGACGATGAGACTCCTGGCGATGTAAATGAGCCCAATATCTGTATAATCTCCATCGCTTATCTTCTCCAAGACCCCAGACGTCCCTAACGGTGTTTGCCTCTTTGTCGGACATTCTTTCATTACTCCTGAGCTTTCTTTCCAAGTTGTGCTTCCTATTGCTGAGCTCCCGTTTGTCTTGGTGCCACCCTCCGACATCCAAGTTGTCAAGATCGTCAAGTCGAAAAGCCAAAGTGTCATCATCGGAATTAGCATTCGCATCGCCTGTGAATAGTCTATCTCGTGTGTAGTCAACGTCCAGGCGTCTTATCTCGTCAAGAACATCCGCCTCCTCTAAGATATTGAGCTCTCCTTCTCCTTCGTTTTTTTCTTCTTCATTTGGTGGTTCGTTATCTTCAGGTACATCAAGCTCCTCAGATGGAAATGTCATCTGAATATCACCGAGGAGCCAATGGACAAGGAATGATTTGCCACCTTCTTCAAAGATGTTTCCTTGGTTAAGGCTGGTTTCTTGTGCGTCAGTCATGTGCTTCATAAGTACTCTTTCATGAAGTAGGCCCTTCTTCGTATGGTTAAGCTTGTTCTGAAGGCCTTTGACTTCTCTCCCAAGACTTTCGATTTCTCCATGAACCTCCCCAATTCTACGTCTCACGTGTCGAGGTGTCTCTTCTCGAAGCTTTGAGCTCCTGAGTGAATTGAGGTTGAACCGCTTCAGAACCTCGCTAGAAATTCGGCCACCAACTCTCACGATACCTTCACTGTTATAATCTGCAACTCCTTCCAGAAACTGATCTAAAGCATGGTTTGTATAGCAGACGAGTAGGATTGGTTTGTTTGAACGGTCTGCGTGTCCGGCCAGTCCTAGAACTTGAGCTTCTTTCCAAATGCGCTTGTTTTCGAGAAGAGTGTGAACTATCTTCAACCCGATGTAGGTTTTTCCAGTGCCAGGTGGGCCTTGTATGACCGTCATCTCTTGAGTAAGTGCTGCTTTCACGGCGCTAAGCTGGGACTCGTCAAGACCAGTGTTCCCTAGTCTCGTCCATTCACGATCATCGAGAATTCTCACGGTCTTTATACGCATTGCAGTTTGCTTTGCGTTTGGAACATCACCAGAGACGATGGGTGATAGGTCATATTCAACGGAGCGATCGTTCCGGATGTAGGCAGGTGGACGAATATTTGGTGAAGCAGAGATGATGTAGTCAGCTAGGGGCATTGATTGCTCAGTGACATGTTGTATGCGGCTCAGGACATGTCGGTAAGCTTCGAAGTATGCTGAAGACTCTGCCATGATGAATGTCTTTTCAGTGAAGATCTCTGCAATTTCTTCGTCCCTCTCGAGCTTGATTTCAATGAAGCCTTTGGCCAAATCATCAAGCTTTCGGTTTGCAACTGTGCCGAAGACGAGGGTCTTGAAATCATCAGGTGACAAGATGACGAGTGAACCATAGATCAGTCGCTTCGACGATTGCCAACGAACGCCTTTGAGTTTAGACTCATCGAAGTGAATCCTGAAAGTAACTCCACTTTGTGAGTACAGTGGTTCATCCAGTGTTACATCATAATATATACGAACGTCTTCGTAGCGTTTGTCGTGCTTTCCTGGTCGAGCTGTTGATATATATTCACTAATGCCTTTTCTAAGTGGGCGGACAAAGTCTTCTCGAAGAAGTCGAAATTGGACGTCAAGATAATGTTCGACACTTTCATACTTTCCCTTTTTAATGTTTGCTCGAAGGTAAGGACGAAAGGAATCTGTCAGTTCATTGGAGTTTGGAAACACACTATGCTCACGGAAATTATCTGGAGGAGGTGGTGTGGGTTCGATGTCCGCATAAGGCTTCTTCAGCATTTCCTGTTGGATTGTCTCATGAAATTTCACAAGTTGGCGTACCTCTTCTTGAATTGTCTCATTGACAAGTATTTTTCTTTTCTCTGCGTATCTGACAGCATCTTTTAGGAGTGTCGCAGCAACTTCAACATCTGTCAAGTACCTTGGAAGGCGTTGCTGTAGCTGTGACAGGACATTTGCGATGTCATGAATGCATCTAGGCATAACCCGCAGTCTTGTGTCGCTTCTCTCGGTCCTCATCGCAATGAGATGGAGGGTGAGATGCCTGCTGATGAAGTGGTTCCTTCCGAGCATACCTAACAGCATGTTGATAGTTTCATTAGACACCTGCGCCTGGCAGACATGGTGAAAAACCTGAAACAATAGCGAGATCAGGTCATAGCGTATATCCGTCATTTCTAGAAGCTTGCCCAGACCTTGCTTGAGAGAACCTAACTCTTGTACTGCGTCGTCGGGGTCTTTTGAAAGGAGCTGTTCCAGTGTTTTATAGCCTAGAGGACGAACCACACGAGGGCCCCTTGCTTGGTTGTGGTGAGGTTCGCCGCGTCGATTCCTACATATTTGAAAATTTAATAAAGAGCAAACACAAGTAATCACCAACGTTTATATTCTACGTATTTAGAAGAATGAAAAGTCAATTGTATATTCTCTCCAGAAAATATTGGTTAATGAGAAAATATCAGATTTTTATTGACATTTCAATTCCATGCGAAATGAAAATTTCTCACTACTTGTGTCATAATTTTGCTATTCTTTGAACTTAGCTTCATGTTCTTATTCTTTGTTTCCCGCTCCTGAGTCTGATACGGGTTGTTCCCAAACAAATGCGAGGAGATATTAATTGGTAACATATCAAAATAACACTACCATCCTCAATTAAATTTCGTAGACCATGATGTAGAAGTGTTTCATGAACTAGATGTGGATTTCACAACGTTTTATGCTACAACTGCACAGTTATGACTGTTTTGGTAAGATATACGAATGGAAAACCAGACAAAATAAACCGTAAAACAATAATTGGAGACTATGTAGACGGAGGTCTGAGAATGATACATTTACCCTCAATTAATTCAGGCTTAACTCTTTATGCGCCACTTAAAAAACCCCCCTGTGCCACATTCTTTTAGGGTCACACATTTCGAGGGAATCTTTATTGACTCTGCTGAATCAAGAGGCTATAACTCTTCACTGGATGATCATGATGAAAAATATTGTGCAGCAAAGTTGTAGACCGGAAAACGTGCTTTTCGATGAACCGTCATTTGTTATATTTTGAATTATCATTTTTATAATAATCATAATTATATAATGTTTAATTTTTCTTATTTACGGCAGTTTTTTATCCCTCTAGAATTTCTTATTTAGCAATGATAAGACATCTTCAAATCGAATCTATTAGAAAGGTGGACTTCTTACCTTTCTTTACATACCTTGCTCAAGTATTCTAACAATTCAGAAGGTTAGTATTTAGGTTGTTGAAGAAAAGAAGTTCAATAGGGAGAGACTTGAAAGTACCCCGCTCAGCCACCCTTGACAATGGGCTAATCTGCCCATTGAAATCCCTATTACCCCAGGTTATTGTCAATGTCCGGTTTAGCGGGGCATGAAAAGGGACGTCGTGGGGATGTTTTTCTTTGTTGTGCCATGATAAGTCAATAAGAAATAAGAGAATGTTATTGATTTTGCCCACTGGTATGAGCATGTAAAAATGGTATAGGCATAATATATTATATGTGATATACATGACATAATCAGCATCTTATTGAAATGTCTCATTATGAATGTTCACCGCATCTGTTCTCTCACCTTCTTTACCCCTCAATAAAATTGATTTCAAGTACATTTATCACAGCCATAGATATACAAAGAAAGAATGAATCAATCTTAAAATATAAACTATATTGCATTGTTTTCCATTTACTTTATTGTGAGAGAGCTTATTATCAGAAATGATTGACGAGTGGAGTATGCAATGAATAAAATATGGAGAACGGACGTGAGAGACATTATGAGAGAGAAATAGTGATATGAAATGAAAGGACTTTACTGTGAATAAAGATTATAAGAGAAAGAGATAAAGATGACGGCAAGACAGGATACATATTGATACGAAAATAACAATAATAATGAGATAGAGATGACGGAAAGAAAGAGAGTAAACACTGATAGCATAAGAATGAATAAAGATAATAAGAGAAAGATATAGAGATGACGGCAAGACATAGGGTACATATAGATAGGAAAATGATAATAATAATAAGATAGAGATGACGGAAAGAAAGAGAGTAAACACTGATAGCATAAGAATGAATAAAGATAATAAGAGAAAGATATAGAGATGACGGCAAGACATAGGGTACATATAGATAGGAAAATGATAATAATAAAAAGATAGAGATGACGGAAAGAAAGAGAGTAAACACTGATAGCACAAGAATGAATAAAGATAATAAGAGAAATATATAGAGATGACGGCAAGACATAGGATACATATTGATAGGAAAATAATAATAATAATAAGATAGAGATGACGGCAAGAAAGAGAGTAAACACTGATAGCATAAGAATGAATAAAGATAATAAGAGAAAGATATACAGATGACGGCAAGACATAGGGTACATATAGATAGGAAAATGATAATAATAATAAGATAGAGATGACGGCAAGAAAGAGAGTAAACACTGATAGCATAAGAATGAATAAAGATAATAAGAGAAAGATATACAGATGACGGCAAGACATAGGGTACATATAGATAGGAAAATGATAATAATAATAAGATAGAGATGACGGCAAGAAAGAGAGTAAACACTGATAGCATAAGAATGAATAAAGATAATAAGAGAAAGATATAGAGATGACGGCAAGACATAGGGTACATAATTATAGATAGGAAAAGGATAATAATAATAAGATAGAGATGACGGAAAGAAAGAGAGTAAACACTGATAGCATAAGAATGAATAAAGATAATAAGAGAAAGATATAGAGATGACGGCAAGACATAGGGTACATATAGATAGGAAAATGATAATAATAATGAGATAGAGATGACGGCAAGAAAGAGAGTATTACACTCATAGCATAATAATGAATAAAGATAATAAGAAAAAGATATACAGATGACGGCAAGACATAGGGTACATATAGATAGGAAAATGATAATAATAATAAGATAGAGATGACGGAAAGAAAGAGAGTAAACACTGATAGCATAAGAATGAATAAAGATAATAAAAGAAAGATATAAAGATGACGGCAAGACAGGATACATCTTTCTTTCATTAGTTTTATTCATTCTTATTCTATCACTGTCTACTCTCTTTCTTGCTGTCATCTCTAGCTCTTTCATTAATTTTTATTCATTCTTATTCTATCAGTCTACTCTCTTTCTTGCTGTCATCTCTATCTCTTTCTTTCATTATTTTTATTCATTCTTATTCTATCACTGTCTACTCTCTTTCTTGCTGTCATCTCTATCTCCTTCTTTCATTTTTTTTATTCATTCTTATTCTATCAGTCTACTCTCTTTCTTGCTGTCATCTCTAGCTCTTTCATTAATTTTTATTCATTCTTATTCTATCAGTCTACTCTCAGGGAACACTTTTATCACTAGAGTCTTCGTCACTGCTCGATTCGTCGGAATCAGAGTCCATGCTCCATGCTTCCATAGTAACAAGATCTCGAGCCTCCTCTACACTAAACACACGTTGACGTTTTCCAGCAGGTGCCATCGTAACATCAGTAAAAAAAATCCAAAGAAAACAGCTAAATACACGGTAATTTCGAATGTAACACTATGAAGAAAAACATTTTACTGGAAAGTGTGCGATGTATACAATGTAAACAATAGTAAACGCAACGCGTGGCTACACACTGTGAGCGGTATTATGAATGTCTAATTGACTCGTATACATCTGTGCAAAAATGCGAAGTTGGCACGCCTACGTCCGTGCAAATCGGCGAACAAAGCAAACAAAGAGTTAAGGATTGCCTGGGTAAAACGTCTGCTTGACGATAGTAATGTTGGGCAATGGAAATGTTTTTATGAAGTTTGTTTGGCTCCATTTGGAGGAAATCTTTGTTGGTATAGTAATATTAATAAAAACGATTCTAGCATATTGTCGATAAAAAACATTTTTATTCGGGAAGTTGCCCAGTCATGGGCCACTTTAACACTCGATACGGAAATCGATCCTTCCCATATCAGACGAAAAAATATATGGAACAAAACTATGATTCGTGGAATCCCAAAAGTATTATTCATAAAGTCATGGTATGACAAAGGTATAATTAAATTATCGGATCTTCTTGACGAAAATGGTAATATTTTTACCTTCTTTCAATTTAGAAACAAATATAAGTTTGAATACAATGTTGTAGAATTTTATTCTGTGAAAACGGCTATTCCCCATAATTAGAAAAATAATATCCCTAAAGGTTCAGAGGCAGACCTAATAGCTCAAGAAGAAATGATTAAAAATATAATGAAGGTAACGAAGATATGTCGCTATATTCATAATTTAATTGTTCAACAGGTTTTAATCCCCCTAAATCAATAGATAAATGGAATTCTCTGTTTAATATACCAAACATAGACTGGGATAAAATTTTCTTAGTTCCTTTTAGGTCATGTTTATCTTCACGGATCCGTTATTTTCAGTTTAAGATAATACATCGTATACTTGGTGTTAATAAATATCTTAAATTATTAAATATTTCGCAGTCAGACCTATGTTCATTTTGTCGTATCAGGACAATTACCCTCTGGGCAATCACCCCCCGGGCAATTACCCCCCGGAAAACTACCCCCGTAGGACGATTACCCCCCGGAAAATAACCCCCCGGAAAATTACCCCCCGATGAAAATTACCCCCCGCGGACAATTACCCCCCGCGGACAATTACCCCCCGAGGACAACTACCCCCGAGGACAATTAACCCCCGAGTACAATTACCCCCAAGGACAACTACCCCCCGAGGACAATTACCCCCCATGGACACTACTGGGCATGGTGGCTCAGTGGTTAGAGCGCCCGCCTCATGAACGGGAGGTCGTGAGTTCGAACCCCGGCCGAGTCATACCAAAGACTTATAACAATGGGACCTTCTGCCTTCTACCTAGGCGCTCAGCATTTTAGATTGGAGAAGGGTAGTAATAACATATTATGTTATGCAGGGCCCGCTGGAAGAGCATTTTCATAACTGAAGTGGCTACCCTGGGTAAATAAAACGTTATTATTATTATTTTTATTATTATAACCCTTTGAGGACCACTATCCCCCAGGAAAACTACCCCCGAGGACGATTACCCCCGAGGACAACTACCCCTCCCCCCCCCCTTCGAGGACAATAACCCCTGGAGGACAACTACCCCCAATGACAATCACCCCTGAGGAATTAATAACACTGTGACGTAGAACGCAAGCTTCTCTCCAAATTGCTATTTACAGAAAATTACATAAACCTTCATTTTCTTTGTAATTTATGAAGTTCATTTCAGTCTTTTCAAATTATTCAATTCGATATGGGGGGTGGAGGTTGCCCAATTCCCCTGTAGTTTTGCTACCGAGTAAAGAACAGAAGTTTCATTTCTGAAAAATTGAACAATAACATTGCGCGCAGATGAGTACGCGTTACAGCTTCCCTCACCATCAATGGCACAATAAAGAAATTAGGATGTAAGATTTCCTTTATGCATCCTCTGTAACTTTTTTAATCAGCTGATCGTGTATTTGTCTCTGTATGTATAATGGGCCCTCATCCATGCCATGATCCATAATTAAGGTTTTCTTCACGTCATCTATTATTTCTGTTGACATGCTGAAGTGTAATATGTTTTCGTGTACGTTAAATTATTTTGAAATAGAAATTGCCTTCAAGTTATATGTACGGTGCCATGTCAAAAGAAAATAAATATCCGCTCACTGGTAATTTATCTCGTTTGATTTTGTAACGCCAGCACAGCGTTTTTCAACCGGGGTGCCGCAAGAGAATGATTTGGAAAACATTGATTTTGTAAAAATCATCGAATACCAGAACCGGTTAAAATATGTAATTGCATGAGAAAATGAAATTGTTGAAGATACTAAAGTGTCTTCCTTCCTTGCTCGGTGACAATATTTTGACAGCAAGCTAAATAAGGGCAACAAGTGGCCCGAATATCCTCAAATTCGTGTATCAAGATCATAACCGAATATGTCACTTTTTATTTATGTACATTTGGCGGCAAAGTGCCCGCATACAGTATTTTAAATAGTTTCTAGTGTGTGGATTACAAACTAATTTTTTACCAATTTGAAAATGCCTTCTCCTTTTTATTCTTAAATGTGCATAGCACTTGACGAGAGCCAGAGTCATGCAATATTTATAATCTGTGAAGACTTTGGGATTTGGGAGCAACTTTTTAAAAGAGGGTACCGTGACTAACAAAAAGTTAAAATAACGCTGCTCCAGAGAAATGTATTTCTATACATTTTGAAAAGCGCTGGACAATTACCTAACACTTACATCCTTCGTGGAAATTAACAACCGCACTGGCGTTGCATAAATTATAATAAAAGGGAAATGTGTAGTAATGAGGAAGACAACGTGATATAGTATTTGAAAGAATATGGGTTCATGCAGGGGATCTTATGGGCTCGTAGCCATCTCTCAATGTGTCAGATCGTCTTTTGCTATTGAATCCTGATTGTCCACGGGGGTAGTTGTCCTCGGGGGTAATTATCCTCGGGGGTTATTGTCCTCGGGGGTAATTGTCCTCGGGGTAATTGTCTTAGGGTGTAATTGTCCTGGGGGGGTTTGTCCTCGGGGGGTAATTGTCCTCGGGGGGTAATTCCCCGGGGGTAATTCCCCGGGGGGGGGGTAATTTTCCGGTGGGGGGGGGGGTAATTGTCCTTGGGGGGTAGTTGTCCTCGGGGGGTGATTCTCCGGGGGGTAATATTCCAGGGGGTAATTGTCCTTTGGGAGTAGTTTTCCGGGGGGTAAAGTTACTTTTAATGAAATTAATTTCATATTTGGGTTTTATGGAAACGTTGGAGTTCAATTTAATTTTGTTATTTTATATGCCAAATACTATATATCTTCCAACTAATGCAAAAATATCGTACTCTCACTAAATTCTTTTAAATTTATGTTAAGGTATTATCGTTCTCTTCAACAATACATTTATGTTAAAAATAACAAATTTGTATCATTTGATAATAGGTGGAAAAACAATGTGTAGCTTTCAAAAAAAAATTATCTTGTATAATCAGCTATATTCTTGTTGTTGATTCTATTGGTTATATTATGTATGTATATTCATATATGTTCTGTTATGTTTTGTAAAGTTGAAAGCAATATTGAATAAAGATGATGTTATTAAACCGACCGGTGACCGAGGGAAATCGACAGGTCACCACCCAGGCATCGCTTGGGCTCTACAGCCTGCTCGACTTCTCCAAAAAAAAAAAATCGCTGGGCGATGCCTAAATTCCAGCGGCGACCAAGCAGGCTACTAATCTGGCGGTCGCCGCTCTGACTTGTGACCATAGCTTAAAGGTACTATGTCCCATTTGCAGGCCAACAAAAATAAAATTCCAACTGCATTTGAAAGATAATACTAATTTAGAACTTCCCTAAAAAAAGTGGGGCTTGAAAATGTCTTCAAGTGGGAAAATAACGACTATTAGTTGTCAAATCGACTTTAGGGCTATAGAGCCCAAAAGTAATAGTCTTGATTTTCAGACAATTGTACCGAATGGTCATACGTTTTATGCTGCGCAAAGATTCAATCAGTTTAATCTTGGCCATCACAAGAAGTGGGTTATTGATGTAGACAAATGCTCATGTACCCTTTACGGCTCTTTTCATGTATGTTATTACCAAAGAAGAAAAAAGCCAGTCAGTCACTCAATAGTGTATGACAGTAAAGTCTAGCAAGTAAACGGGTTTCCTTGCATAATTTGAATATGAGGACACTGCTAACGTTTAAATTTCACAGATAGGACATACATGACATATTCATAATTCCTGCAAAGTTCTACAGCATTTGAGGTTGGCTGCAAAAGGGACATAGTACCTTTAAGGGTGCAACATTCATTCAATTATCCCTTGTAAGGTCTATATTTTCTATAAACATTTAATCATTTCAGATAAAGGAACACCACCAAGAAAAAGTCAATAATATGCTTTGATTGCACAAAGCCTCGCAAACTTTAAGTTTAATTCTGCGACGGGGGAATAACAATGTCGTCAATTGTCCCAAAAGTTATTTATGAAATAAACGTCACTTTCATAAAGGTCTGTAGCCATTTTCAGGAAATACATTTTGCGTTTTATGATTCATGTATACCTCAGTCATACTGTCCGCAAACGACATCAACAAATAAATTCTTGACCATTCAGTGTAAAATGCTTTCTATACATGCGTCTACCGTAATTTCTTTGTGTTCTATTGTCCTTCTGGAGTCGGTCTTGTCAGTGTGACTGAGGTAACAGAGGTCATTTCAATTCGCGGCTTACCCATTTCCCTGAGCTCCAGCATCGTCATGTTCCTGTTCTTCTCCTCTGGGGCGGTTGCCTATTCCTCCTTCCCTTGCTCCCTGTTCGCCTCTTCTCCGATGGGGATCTTTTCCGTCTTCCTCCTTATCCCTTCTCCATCCCCCCGCTCCACAGTCACCTGCTTTGGCATCCCTTCCGTCTCTCCATCTTCCTGTTTCTTCCACTCTCCTATCTCGACGTCCTCCGCCTTCGTCCCTGTCTCTCCTCCATCCTGCCCTGTCATCTCCTCGCCCCCCTCTTTCTTTGCCACCTTGGTAGCCGACCCGATGTCCACCTCTCCCATGTTCTATCCTCCAAGGTGTGTTCTTTATTTTACGTCTTCTAGAACAGAACATAAACAACAGTATGATTTACCGAGAGAACAATGACCACTTGGTATATATATATATATGTATGGTTTTATATAAATAATTGCATTATATTCATTGCACATCCGTTGTCTTGCAGAACACCCTATTTCATCAACAAAGCAAGTCTCGGTTAACACCTAATGTTTACGATTCAATGTTAATGATTCGTAATACTCTATTAGGCCTTCCCAATAAATCCAGAGACGGTGGTAATGATGGAGTTTCCAATCAGTCGTTAGGCTCGACTAGCTAAGGTGTTTGGGTTCCATGAAACATACTTCGGCCCCAAGGGCTCCTCGGTCAACTTCTTACAACAACCAAACTCGTAGCTTCAACCATGTCCCTAACACTATGCCTAACCCGACACCTAACGCTAAATATTATCTTGGATAAAATAAGAATCTGGAGCAAAGGTTGCCGGAGCACTACCGGGATAATCTTGTATCTGGAATTTATCAAATGGAATCATTATTGTCCAAGGAAGCTTATATTTTTAGAGACGATGATGTTTTAGGGGTCGTTGTCCGATGTTACTTGTCCAGCTAAAGGCGGCTGATCTCCGATAGTTATGTGAGGAGGCTGAAGGATGCAATTTTTGCCTCCGGTTTGAATTTATGTTTCATTTGGCGGTTCATTACAGAGCATAAACTATACATACTTATCGACATTTTCTCGTTAGTACGCCTATTATTTATTTAGTCCGCTGTTTTTCTTTCCCTTTACAAGACTAATCAGCGGAACACTCACTGCAACACCCATCAGCAACCTGCCAATATTATCTGGCATACCACCAGCTCAGCTCAGGCGAGATGCGCAGTACACTAAGCTTGCCCAAAAGCATGACAGAGATAAATGCCTTGTTCCTAACCCTCTGCCTTTGAAGGACAGCGTCTCCCTAGAAGACACTTTGCAACACAGGCTGCTGAGCTGCGGCCTGAGAAGCCCCACTCCACCTTAGCCACTTGGATAGCAAAACACTGGTCAGACCAGTGGAATTCGTCCACTACTAACCTGAAGGAGTTCATCCCAAAGCCCTGTGCAAAACCAAGTGGCAGCGACTTCCCAAGAAAAGCCTGGGTCAACCTAAACCGTATCAGAACTGGAGTTAACCGTACGCAATATTTCCTACCTAAAATTGGAGCTGAATCATCACCAAACTGCGCCTGTGGAGAGATCCAAACTATGGATCATGTCATTGATGTTTTTCCGATCTACAAATCCCCCCACGGCGCTTCCGGACTTCGTGAGCTCAATGATGAGACAATCTGTTGGCTTAATAAGGATCTTCCTATCTAGATGATGTACTCCCTGATATTCTTTGCACGAACGAACGAAGCGTAAAAAAAGCCGTTTGTTATATATTTAGTGAGTGCACGGCACACAAGAAACCCGCGTTTAATTACCAATGATTGGCATAGACCAGACAAAATTTATTAATTATTGAATATAAATTCGGTATTTGTACTTTGTTCAAAATAATATTACTTCCGAACGCTCATATTTTACTATGCATTCTGGGATGAAATTTCTATATTGCATGAAATTGACATCATATATAAACTGTGGTATAAAAGGCGAAGGCAGCTGTAGCACCCACCCCCCCCCCCCCCCTCCAGCGGCTTCCCATGTTCGCATCATCATATAAACTAAATACTTACACAGTTAAAAACATTTAAAACAAACATATTTTTTTGTTTAAATGGAAACCTATTTATTACTCGATATCAACAAATCATATATTCACGATATTCAGAATAAGCAATAGTAATATAATGATTGACGAAAGTCGGTACAAGAAAATAACGCTAATAGATATGATATGCCGCCTTTTGTAAAACTGACGTAGAGAATGAAATACACTTCCTAATAAAATATTTACTCACTTAAAATATTCCAGATATTACAAAAAAATGCTCTTAACTCATTACAATAAAGTTTCAGACTTTCAAAACCTAAACAACTACAAGAAATTCAAACTAATAATGTCTCATGACAAAACCGACATAAAATAAGCGAATAGCCCCACTGAAAAAGAATTAATCTGTATAAACTAAACACCCCCCCCCCCCCCCGTTAAAAAAAAATAACCGAAAAAAGATATATCCGTCCTATTTCTCTAATCCAATTGGTCTTATGTATGTCAAGCGGAACGTATTTCAAGTTCAAGTCTGATCCCGTTTTTTCTTTCCTTTGCTCATTTACATTGCTTTTTTTTCCTATTAATATATTTTGACTTTGCATTATCAACTCTTTTATAAGATAGAGGTACCACCATTTAATAAATCAATATATTATTGTTTGTTTTGTTGGTGTTGTAGTTGGGGGGCTCCATTCATATGAAATATCAACTATTATTATATTATTAATCTTGCTGAAATTTAGTATTGTAAAAAGTATTGTAGAAAAGGATTAATTTATCGTCATCCCATGTTCACTGTTTCATCTCGTGTGAAGGGGTTGGGGAGGGAGAACAAACAGTGTTTCATGCTGGTTTGTATGCAACGATGTATTATATTCCTGAAAAGGCCCGTGGTCGTACGTTTATTTTCTGGGCCATTTCTGTTTATTGTAATTTGATACTTGTACTATAACATGTTTGTTAACTATATTGATAAAATATACCTTTGATTGTCATTATCGTTCGTTGAAATAATATCGAGAATGACCCTACACGCTTGGATCTTAAGGAACAAAATGGAATTCGAATTTGAATTTGAAGACACACTCACACACGAATATATAGATATGTGTGCGTGTGTGGGTTGTGTGTGTAATCAAATGTTATTGATTATAATCCAAACGAATTGGATCATCCTCATTTTTTGTTTAATATCAATGGATAACTAAAGTCAAAAGTATAATGTAACAAAGATAATCGGGTGCAAATGTCAAAATTACAATAACAGAGGAATATCAAAATTAACGTAATTCCACATGTCTTTTTGAGAATAATTTTTGTTTCCTTCATTCCATCCCATTTTTCTCTTTTCCCCCTTATTTGTAAAGCGAGAAAGAGAAAGAAAAGAAAAAAAAAGAAAAAAGACCCCACACACAATTTGACAGTAAAACACTATATAGTGTTGGTCTTGTAGGCAGTCGGACTGCTGTAGCGGCATAGACGCCCTGTTTTACAAAATTATGAGATTGGTATGAATCATCTTTTTTTTGTTTTCTTTCTTTGAGCGGGAGGTGAGGATCTTCTCACATACATCAGCATGTTACTGCCGTATCAGCCTCTTTTCATAGTCATACAAAGACTACTATACGAGTGACTTCGCGAGGCATGTGTCATACAACCTCGCAGTGGCGTATCCAGACATTGATAAAAAGATGTAGGAAATTTACGTCAGTTTCCCAAATGTCCATTGTCTGAAGACAGGTTCCCAAAAGAAAAGTGAAATATATTTATGTGCACTTCTGTCCGTTGTTTTTAGACGTCCACTGACATCAAGATTGGATTGGGTTTTTATAAATGATTTCTGAGCCTCAAAACGGGGCGGCGTATCGAATCCAACACCCTCGTTTCCATGATTATAAATAATCAAATATTTGATTTTTGTATTGCTTTATACTCAAAATACTCGCAGGATTGTCTGGGGTGCAAGGTCCACCAGCTCCATATATGATGTATTTGTTATTTTGCGGATAATTCAACTTTCCTTTCCGTTCTACCATTCATCTTCAACAATAGAATGTTTCAGCACCGCGGGTCTTTGGTAATTCCTATCCAGTTCTCATGCATGTTCAATCAATATTGCGCAATGTCACCATGCAGGTGTGACGTGTCGGGATGGTCTTGCACAATCCGCTAACATTCTTCATCATGCAATATGCTGTTAATGTGGGGCACTGTCATTATTTGAGGCCAGTGGTCTTATTTGGTGGCTGGCATGCGAATAGACCACTTCGTAGTTAGCACATGGGTCAAATGACCCCAACATTTCCACAGATCTTTTACTCATGGAGAAGTCCCACTTTATGTATTTTAGAATAATCAATGCTAAAGTCATGTATGTGCTTAATGAAAAACTTTCGTTTGCCCTCTTGTATCATAGAATGTACCGTAGGTGCACACATTAATAATAGGGACTTTTAGATTGAGTGGACGAGAACACGACGAACGCCGACTGATCATGCGTGTCAACGTACTTAACTGCCCATGTTGACTACAATTAGAAATCTTTTAGATTGCACTTGACGATATACATGCATGCAGGAAGTAACACGATGAACATCACGGACAAAGAAAGTTCATCATTCTACCCTCAACAAAAGAACATCCCTTCACTGCTATTATGTAAAAAAAAAAAAAATGTGTAGAACGGGTGAATATGCATGTGACACCTGTTCTACACATTTTTACATAATAGCAGGGAAGGGATGTTCCTTTGTCTACCTGAGGAACTGTATATTTTACGCGTAAAGGCGTAAAGGCGCTACATAAATACCAAAATGTATGTATGTACTAGATTTACGAAAATCAAGGTTGACGCATTCTCGATCGCCGACTGAGACGACGTAACGCATGCGCAATGCCTTAAAATGACGTCACACGTTGCAGTCAAAGCTGTCGACGTGCAAATCTAAAAGTCCCTAATGATTATATAACATGAGCACGTATTCCTGTCGGTGGGTTTTACAATTTTATCAGAAATTACCTTTATCTGCCCATGCGCAGATAGTATTTACGAAATCGCACCCGCCCCTTTCGCTCTCTCTCTCTCTCTCTCTCTCCCTCTCTCTCTCCCTCTCTCTCTCTCTCTTTATTTCCTCTAAGATTCGACTGAGGAACCCCCCCCCCCGTAGACTTATAAAGACTACGCAAACAAATGAGTACCCGGAACCCCATACACTGATTCTTTGATTCATCACCTCTCAAGTTTTGACTGAAAGTAAACTCAATGCAAATTATATCCACGATGTTTGACAGCAGCACCCCGATTCCACATCCCCCAAAACCCAACCTACACATTAACCATTGAATCCCTTTTTTCATTAATTACTAGTTCTGCCTTTGTGTTTTTATCTTTATTGTTATACCTCTGTCATTATTTTCATTATCACACCTATCACAACTTATTTATCATAAAGATATTAATTATCATGTCAGATCAATAGCACATTGTAGATTTGTTCTGAAAGGTACAATTGGTTATCCATGATGAGAATGAGAAAAAGACTACCTCACATCGTGAATATGAGGTGATAATTGACAGAATATTTGGTAGTTGGACACACACATACTGACAAACACATTAATTGTCTCGTATGTATGATGGATACTATTATAGATGGATCGACGCCCCTGCAAATGAGGGAAACCACTGACTCGATACACAGTACAAATACCACTGTGGTAAAAGTAGAACAAAGTTCGGAGATAAGCTTCATCAGTTTATTCTGATTCGTTCGAAACGATCAAAATAAAAATAAATTGGATCAATATTGTTGAAAATCACAAGCACCGCAAACGAAAAGGAGATCATTGGACTCCACACACATATGGCATAAAAGGTTGGTCCAAACGAAAAAAGGGAGATTTGTTTCGCTGTTCTGTTTCATTAACACGTGTGAGTTTAATCCTAGGTTGAATAAATCTCCGTTATAAAATTGTATACCTGTGATTCATGCAATTATAATAAACGACCGTGAGGATACAAAATCAATATTATACTATAATGTCAACCTTTCTTCCCGGATTCTGATAAAAAGAGTAATTTCTCAATATTTTAGTACTTGTCATCAGCAAATATTCTTCAATTTGGAAGTATATTCTTTCATCGGCTTTCATCTAATACACTGCTCTTCTTTTTTTTTAACCTCAACAACGTTAATAGTAGATCACCGGTATTAGATGATAGAAATTTATTCTACATGTAATGAAGAATTTCACAAACCTTTAATGAAAATCTTGATATCTATACAATCAATACGCTACACAAAATAACCTTCATGCACATCAATTTTCTATTTACATCTTGGGGGATATAATGGGTAAATCGTGATTTTTAACAATGCTTCATTTTCTTAGGAGGATTGTGGTTCATGTAATTCCAACCAAGAGACAAAATTCACATGTAAATCCTTATAATTCACCTTTCACAGACACCGTTAAGAGTAGCCTACTGTTAATTGCACAGCATCATCTCACGGTCAACTTGCCAACACTGTACAACAAAATAATGGATTTCCACTTTGCTGCGAGAACCAACGACACCATACTGCTACAGTTGACTTGACATGGCACTAGAAGGGATATTGCGGTAGGGCTTCTAGTAAAATATGGCACTAAAACAACTTTGAATCGTTTGGAAACGATCAATATTTTTTAAAAGTTCAATTTTTGTCCGATTGTGATACTCTAATCCTGCTTGATGTCTTAAAAAGACATATATCTGTCCGTGTTCTTCTATTCTATATGGTACTATTCAAGTATCAAACAGGGAAAAGGCGCGTTAAAAAAAAAACACATATCTTTCTGCGCCGGTATAGGATTGAAAAAATCCGCACCTAAAAAGTACAAATTGTGTGATAGCATGGATAGCGGAGGAATATAATTTTTTCATAAAGTCGAGTGATTTTTTAGTATTCGGAGGGCAGCAAAGCCAAGTGTTATAGAGCAAATGATCCACTTGAAATAAAAACAGAAAATATAAATAATATTTACATAGGTTATGAAACGACTAAGTATACATCACAAAGCGCATGCAATAATGATGGTTGACATGTACTTTGATGCTGTCTCTTAAACTAGCATTTCTCTGCTCAGGCCAATGTTATGCCCCTTAAGAGTAGCCATTGCTCACTTGGTCAATACCAATTGTTTCGGTTTCTTACAATTGTAATCCTTTAAATGACACATAAAATACTTGTTCTTGTTGTTGTGCATATTGTAGTCTAGTAGGTCTTGCATATCTTCCAAAAGCCCTTAAAGACCGTCAATACTACTGGGCCAGAAGGGATTAGAACACAAAGCGAGGTCACTGACAGGTGGTTATCTCATTAACTCAGCTCTTAACTAAAGAGGATCATGGGTGACCAACAGGCACCGATTGGGAAAGTTTTCTAAATAGAGGGAGCAAGTAGCTACACGTAGGACAGTGGGGCTTTAAAACAAATAATGAAAGTTAATTCCAATGAAGGATACTGAAACCGAAATATTATAAACAGATTAAAAAGACCTTGGCCAATCAGTGTACTACGAATTCGTTATCAATTTATTCCTAACGCGTTATACATCTCAATAAACTCAATAACAGCTTAAATAAATCAATTACAATCTTTCAATGCAGCACATCTGGGTAACATCAAAGTTACGAAGGTCAGTAGAATTCATAAACCGTGTTTTATATTGAATGTAAACATATTCCTGCAAAATGTCTAGCAATATTTGATGTACGAAGATTCTGATCGCATATTCAGGCATGAAACGGGACATAGACTCGTTGGTGGACTCCTCTGCGACCACCCCTTCTACCTCGACCTCTTCTTCCACGTCCTCGTCCCCTCCCCCGCTAGTGTTGCTGACCACCTATACCTCGCTGACCAGGCAGAAGTCTCTGAGCGGGCTCTCTCCTGCTCAGCCTTCTCTAAGTCGCAGTCCTCGCACGGGCCCTTCTTCAGCTGATGATTCGAAACAGGATGTCCTTTGGCACAAGTAAACCACATGGTTACGTCGAAGGAAAGACGCGGAGGGCGTTTAAAAGTCAGTAGGCCACTGCCAGTATGGCTGATCCCATTAGCACTGCTAATTCCTTTGAGGATGACATGCTAATGTCATATTCCTATCCCGGCCTATATGGAGAAGTCTGGTTACTTCTTTTGATTCTGTTGCTCCTCCCCTCAGTACTTCGGCCAAATCAAACATGAGCGTCACTCGATTCATCTCAATCCAGAGGTCTTTCGCGCGCTGATTTACGAGTGCATTCAGTGAAAACATGCTTTGTCTGTGCAGTTCCTCTGTTGATGCCTGGAGTAGTTCATGAAGTTTGTCCAAAAGAATTATAAGTTCTCCCAATGCCCCAAAGTAAAACAGCGTTGATTAAATCTCTGTTGTTGATTATAGTGGCAAAAGCCGAATGGTTTCCCTTGCCAACATGACGGATGAGTTGACTCTAATCAGGAGGTGCTCGTTCTCAATTCTATTGCGAGCATATTGTAGCTTTTCCACGATTCGCGGCTTATTCGCTTAAGATTCTGTCAAGAGATTATTGTAGCGATGAATCGACTGGATTGGTTTTTGCATCCTGGGCAAGTTTTTACCTTGAAAAAGATTTTTTTTTTTACAGGAAATACATGGTGCACCATGGCAGGGCGCATTCGTGGCCGCACACCAGTTTTGTCTGACAAGTCTCAATGCAGGGGTGATGGAAACGACCTTGTGAGCATTTTCCACAGATCCATTTGCACTTGTGCCCACATATCAAGATCTTCTCACAAGCAATGTAGCATGCGTCGCTTTCATCGCAGCATTTAACGATTACCTCATGACCACATGGCCAGTCATTTCTTGAGATCATCTCTGTGCAGTTCTCAGTGCAATCCACCCCGCACCATTCCTTGCAAATGTGGCCACATGGAAGCTGCTTACTGCACCTTGCTTTGCATACTACTGTTTCTACTTCGATCGAACAAATTATCTTCATTCTGTGACCGCAAGGCAAGGTTTTCTCTACAAGTTCGGAACATTTACTTTTGTGACAGCACTTTTCTATTACTTCGTGTCCACATGAACGATTTTTTATTGTAATAGTGTTGCACAGAAGATTGACAATACTTGTGGAACAAAGAAGAGTATGTGTATGTCCACATGGCAGGGTTTTCTCAACGTTTTCCTTGCATCTGATGTTCTTTGGATCTCTATGGCACGCTGCTTGGCAGGTATGGTTACATCCCAGAACTTTCGAGATTATCTCATCACATCGTCCACTTCCGTTACATTTCTCCGTCTTTCTGTGGCCGCACTGCAGTTCCTTGTTGATGATGACCTCGCACTTTTTTTCAAGTCCCGCCGTTGACATGTGGCAAGGAACAGATTGGAAATGTGAGCAACTTAAAGTTTTTTCTATCTTTTCCTCGCACATGATGGACTGAATGTCGGTCTTACACTCCGTTTTACAGACATGACGGCAGGGCAGAATCTTTTCCACAATGACTGAACAAAAGGGGCAAGGATCTGAGCAGAGCATTGGACATTTGTGGTTTCTCTCACAGATAACCTTGGAGCAAGGATCCTTGCACTTGTAGATGAGATGCTTTAGATCCGTTGGGTGACACTTTAATCGACAAGCGTGTCCACAGTCAAGCATGGTATCACAGTCTCTACTACATCCTCCTAATGGTACCTTCTTGAAGTCATCGTCAGTTTTCACCGCTGTCCCCTCTTCTGGATGATTGGTGCATTGCAGCGTAAGGGAATCTCCGATAGATCGCATTGCTTCTAGATCTTTTACTATGCCCTTCCATAGCTCACTCTTTTCTGCAAAGAGGGTGAAGTTTCCAACGCAGTAGAGCCCTATCTTCGCTCTTGACAAGGAGACACAGACTCGGTTCGAAATCCCCAAGAATCCAATTTGACCATGACTGTTGCTCCTCACATAGGACAGAATAATGATATCATTCTCTTCTCCTTGGTAGTTGTCTATTGAATTAACGTTGACTCCCTCAAACTGGCTACGATCCATCATCTGCTTGATTTTCAGTAGCTGACCTGTATAAGCTGTGAGGATTGTAACCTTATCAGGTTCATACCCCTGCTGCAGGAAGTAGTAACACAACGCTACTACGAGTCTGGCCTCATGGAGATTGTAGTGGCTCTGAGTATCTTCCATGTCATCTTCTGGTTCCGCGTGATCTAGAAAGAAGATATCGTTTTTAACTGCTTTCACACTTTCGTATCGCTTCACCGTGTCATGATCATGAAGGCTGTCGTAGAAGTTCCTTCTCATCAGATCCGACAGCTCGATACGCATCCGATATTGCAGCTTAAGTTTTGAGTAAGGAAATTCATTTTTGATTAGTCTTTCAAACAATGAAACGTCCAGATGATACTTCTTGGCCAGGTAGTACACGTTCGGTTTCGGTCGAAGTTGTTGATGATCACCGATGAGAATGAGCTGTTGACATGATGCATTTAATGCCGTGATGATGTGTGCCTCCAGGACCTCAGCTGCTTCCTCTACTACTACGATCTTTGGGCGGACTCTATGCAAAACCTTCTGGTGATTGGCTGCTCCAGTTGTAGTCATACCGATTATAGTTGCCTGTCGAAGGACTTGGTATTTCTGTACGTGTTTTGCTTCATCTAACTGACCACAAAGTTGCTTGAATTTAAGCACATTTGCTGGAAGTTTCCCTTTCAACTGTTGCAGATAGTTGTGCAACCAAACATGGTAAAGTGCCCATCGATCATTTGGACGCATACTCCAGACATCCATTAATTGAAGAGCACGTGGATCGATGACATCTTTGCCAGACATCTTCCTTTGGACGAACCTCCGCAAGTTACCGTCCTCTGCTTTGTTCAGATCATCTAAGTTAAGGCCAAGGAAAGGGTAGCCTTCGTTTTCCTCTTCATCAGAACCTTCCTCACCATATTCGTCATCAAACATTCTGTCAGACTCGATGGCACTTCGTTCATATTCTACCTCGACTGTTGCTCTGTTTGCCACAGGATAATGCTTTGTGATTTTTCCACTCTCTTCTTCTTGCTGATTATTTCTCTGTTCTAGTGTATCCTGTTTTGCTTTCTGGTTCCAATCCCTGTCATATTGACATTCACAGAGAAGCCACTCTACGAGCCAGGAGTTTAACTGTTTCAAATGGGAAAAACGCAGGAGGCTGTTGTAATGCTGCCGTGACATGAAAGGGTCTAGTTCGTACTCGCTGATGATCCCATTTCTTGCACCCTCTATCCTGGCTTGCGTTCTCTCCACACGCCTTTTTGCGGCGCCAACTTCTTTCTTGACATGACGAATCCTTCGTTGAACGTACTCTTCATCGTGTATTCCCCACCGACCAACCATCCGATTAAGGTTGAAGGACTGCAACTTCTCACTCTTGCTACGGCTTCCAACTCGTACGATGCCAGTGGGATGGAATGTTAAGATCCCCTCCAGAAACTGATCTAGCGCATGATTTGTGTAGCACACGAGTAAGATAGGGCTTGGGTTTTCTTTACTTGACCAGACTTCTCTGTTAAGGAGAAGAGTCTCTATGATCTTCAGACCTATGTGCGTCTTGCCGGTACCTGGTGGACCCTGTATGACAGAGAGTTCTTTGGTGAGAGCTGTCTTGGCAGCTTCATATTGTGATTGGTCGAGCTGTACATCGTCGATATCGGGCCAAGCACCATCGTCAAGCACGTCAATTGTTGGAGAGCATCCTTCTATGTCTTTCAGCAAAGGTGAGATATCGATACTACATGAATTGATGAACATTTCACCGTCTTCAGTTACCGTCCGATCTTGGAGATACCTGGGTGGCTTTACATCATGACACATGCTCAAAGTGTATTGGGAAAACGGCAAGCATGGACCAGACATTCGCTGGAGACCCAGGAGAACTGGGCGATAAGCTTCAAAGAAGACAGATGACTCTGCAATCACAAAACTTTTATTCAGTAGACATGATTCATCTTCATCTTCTCGGTCGACCAATGCTATGGCTACCATTCCCTTTTCTAGATCTTCTACGTCCCGATTGGCCACTGTAGCAAATATGAAAGACTTGAAATCATCCGTTGATAGGATGAGCAATGATCCGTACATGAGTCGTTTTGTCGAATGCCATCGGACATGGGGTAACTTCTTGAAAGCCATGTAATGTGAAATTCCGGAGAAATCAAGGACAGATTTTATGTAGTGAGCTTCCTCGTAGATTCGGACATCCTGAAGTTTGGCCCTTCTGTCAGGGTTGGCCTTCTTAAAAGTTAAGTACTCTGATATCCCATTGCGAAGAGGATAGCTGAAGTCTTCCTTCAGGAGTCTGAACTGAACATCCAGGTAGTGATCTGCATCGGCATATACACCCCTAGTCAGATGAGGGCGGAGAAACGGCTGATATCCGGGTTGCAATTCCTTGACAGTGGGAAGAATGTCTTGCTGGCGGAAGTCGTCAGGGGGTGGGTTCTTAGAAATGCGGTCCATCTGTCTTTTTGTATCCCTTTCTTTTTCAATGTCCTCAATGTGATTACTCACAGACTTAATTGACTTCATGATGTCATCACGTTTGTCGTCTTTATCCATGTCTGATACAGCATCGGACATGAGAGTAACAGCAACTTTGAGATCTGAAGCACGGCTTGGTAAACTTTGCATGGCTGAGAGGAAGACAATGGTGACATTCTTCAAAAGGTTTAACCGCCTTTCGTCGATTTTCTCTTCTGGACGCCTGACTTTGGTCAAAAACGTGAGTAAATGCTGACGACAGAGTTTGGAATCCATGGTCATTGTCAGCAGCATGATCACTGTTTGTTCTGCACCTAGAGCTCCGCACATAAATGCTAGAGCATCCCAAAAGAGATGTTGTCGTACCTCATCCATCGAGTCTTCATTGAGACCGGCTTGAAGGTTTCCTTTCAGGGACCCAAGTTCTGTAGCGGCCTCAGAAGGGTCTTTCTCAAGTATTTCGATGAGCAGTCTGGAACTTAGTGGTCCGAAGTTACCTTGGTTCTTACGGTATCTTCCTTGGGTCTGTCCATATCTGAAATGGTAGAATTGAAATGAGGTGCACCCGATACCAATACAGTCACAGTAAAAAATGATACAGTAATAACTAAGCCATATTATTAATCTGAAAAACAGATTACAAAGGTGCAACAGTAATGTACTGTAACTATTTGTCAGCTGTGTTATAGCTAAGTCACAGTGTTTTACTGTGCGTAATTTGTCGTAATTTTGCGCATTGGCAGGACAATGGTCTGTCACAGTGGCGGATCCAGGAATTTTTTACCGGGGGGGGGGCACAAAATTGCATGGGGTGAAATCAGTAGCGTACACATGATTTTTTTCAAGGGGGGGGGGGTAACAATTTTAAATCGGGGAGAAAATTTCGCAACTACTCAGCCAGCCGCTGAATAAGTGGTGGGGGGGGGGGGAGACATTTATATTTATTTTTTGGGGCCCCAAAAAAATTGCAGGGGGGGAGGGGGGGTAAGAGCACATTTTTTTTTTTTTTTTTTTTGGCCGGGGGGACGTGCCCCCTAGATCCGCCCCTGTGTTAGTTTTCTCTAAACCAGACTACATTTTGTCTTTATTTTTACAAATCTCGTTTTCTGTTTCTTTTTAATTCCCTAACCCTATGCCCCTATCTTTTTGTATCCCTTCTCCATTACTACTCACCATAGATGCTATCCCCTCCCCGTCTCCAATCTTTGACCGTAGTCCATTCCCCTCTCCCATCCTTTTCTCTACCTGTCCTATCGCAGCTTCGTCTGCCTCTACTTCGTTCCTCCCTCCACCCAATTCTCCCAAACATTTCCATTCCCCTCTCCCTCTCACATTCCCTCTCACATTCCCTCTCACAGCTCCCCACATCTCTCTTTCTCTACCATCCGTTTTCTGATTCCCTGCATTTTCCTTTCCTCCATTCCCTCCTTTCTTCCCTACTCCCCCTCTCCACACCCCTATCTACTCTCCTTTTTGTCCCTCCCTTCCCCCTCTTCCCTCCCTCTCCCTCCCTTTCCCTCTTCTCTGTATTCCTTATCCCCGCTCCCTGCCACCCCTCTCCTAACTCATTAATTCTGTATTTCCTCCGACATTGTCTCCACATTTCCTTCACTAGAACTCCTCCTTTCTCCCCTTCTCCACTTTCTCCCTACTCCACCCGTCTCTACTTCCCCTTCCTTCCCTCCTTGCCCCTTGTCCCCTCCCTTTACCCTCGATTGTCCTCCCTGTATTCTACTCTCTCCTCCTCGCATCTCCCCCTATGTCTTTCCCATCACGTCTCTCTCTCTCTCTCTCTCCATCACCTCTCTCTCTCTCCCTTCTTAATAACAATAATAATAATAATAATATTAATAATATATGAGACAAGCAGGACCCGCGAAAATCCACGGGATTCTAGGGGGGATATAAATAGATATATAAATTGAAACCATCAAGAACTTCATTTGCCATTCTGAGGACACCATAAGTTCCCAATCTAGCTTTCGTTGGTATTCACATTGATTTCTCACGATTTCAAGGGTAAATCATGATTAGAACAGGACCCACGGAAAATCCGCGGGATTCTAGGGGGGGGGGGGGGGTTGAAATAGATATAGAGACTTTCTAAATTAAAATCATCAGCAATAACTGTATTTGCAAATTAGAGCAAACCATAAGTTCCACACCCAACTTTATTTGCCATTTAAAGGACACCATAAGTTCCCGATCCAACTCTAGTTATTCTTTAAGCCCCGTATTAATGACAACAATTGTTGCTTCGGCGTAGTTCCTGGGTAAGTTATGAATAGGCAGGCATACGATGGCAAATTACTGTGCATATAGGCACCACGTACCTACAGCGTATGCAATTGGCGTACCTAAGCATACGATTGCGTATAACAGGCGTAGGTTTGCGTACGTTTACGTAGGCCTGCTGTACAGGTTTGCTTACGGTTGCTCACTGTGTGCACAATTAAAGCTTTTACTGCTTCGTCGATCTGGCGTAGGGTAGCGTACTGTTGCGTAGGCATGGCGTACAGTAGAGTTGCGTAAAAAAGGCATACTTTCTGCGTCAAGTGTTTACGCCGAAAGTACGCGAAAAAATTAAGCATGTTTAATTTTTTGCGTCCATCTCGCGTACCCCTTTGCGTCCCTCAGCATATAGTAACGTAGGCCAGCGTAGGGCAGTGTACGCTCAGCGTAGTCGGTACGCAACACTACGCAACTCTACGTATGGACCCCATGCCATTTAGTAACCTGCCAGTGTCTATGCTGGCTGGAAAAAGAAGTGGATTTCAGCTGCAATCATATTAATATGTTGGTAGACCTCCAACCAGACATTTCCCCCTCAGAGTGTAAATTGATGAAAATGTCTGGAAGAAATTGAGTTATAACAGATCCCTAACTGTTTCACACCATAACTCTGAATGGAAAATATATTTGAGTCTATACGTGCTGTAATTTAGAATAATACTTTGAAAAAATCTTCCATCTAATTGACACAAAGCATTCTATTCATGCAATTGATTTTAACAAGAAATCAATCTTCTTCGTCGTTTTACCCTAGAAGGACCCGTTGTCTTTATACAAAAATTAATCGCTATTTACGATCAAATAAAGATGTTTCAAGCCAATTTGAGAGGAAGTCTTTTTATTTTCCATCAAACTAAGCGAGAAGCAAACTCAAAAATATCTTTCATTTGAGAATTACGACACACAAAATGTGGGGTCCGTCTTGCCAGGCGTGTAGCTCCCCCTCCCCCCCCAAAAAAAAAAAAGCACAAGAAGAAAAAAAAAAGAGATGGAAAAAGTGGGGAAAGAGATAATTTTTATGAGTTTAAGGAGAAAGGAAAACATGAAAGAGAATTAAACAACGATAGAAGAGAGGTGCATACATTCGAGATAATTTTGCAAGTACTACTGGTGAAGTACCAGACCCCCGTCGTTGTGCTTTGTGCAGCAATGAAGCGTATACAACGTCTCGCGACGTGACAGATCACTTTTCTCTAACTTCTTACCAATTAGAAGGCCTCGTTTTTTTTTCTCCATGAAGTACCGGTGGACATTAATGCGCCAAATGTGGTTCTCAAATTGCAAAAGATCTCAGTGGCGCATCTACGGGGGGATTTAGGGGGTTTACCCCCCCCCCTCCCCCCCCCCCCCTCCCCCCCCCCCCTTGGGGCTGCTAAGTGAAAATGTGATGTTCATAGAAAACGCCATCATGTGTCCAGACCCACACAGTATCCGCATTGTCATTGGGTCATACCCCACCTAAACTCTTACTTGATTTAAAAGACGTTATCACGCACTGCTTTTTATGGTCTCCATTGTGTTAGTATACAGATGCCAAGAAAAACATCACTTTACGGGGGTTCAAAATAGCAAAAAAATATTGCCTCGTCGCTACGCGGCTCGTGGATGAAGCTCGGCATCGTCATTGGGTCAGCCCCCCCCCCAACCTTAATTGATTAAAAAGACGTTATCATGCAATGCTTTTTATGGTCTCCATTTAGTTGATGCCAGGAAAACATCAATTACGGAGGTTCAAAATAGCAACAACAATAAAATCGCCTCGCCGCTTCTCTGTATCGTCATTGGGTCAAATCCCCCCCCCCCCCCTCCTTAGCAAAAAGGTAATTCCGCCCCTGGATCCCTACTCTTTGAGGGGGAAGAAGAAAGCAATTTTACGTCATAATTATTACTCCAGGAACTGCCTGAAAATGCGCCTAATATGGTTCTAAAATTGCAAATGCTTCCTACTCACGGAGGGGGTTCCGCACCAGAATTCCACGGTGTGACGACGAAATATACAGTAGCGAAGTAGCGCGGGCGCGCGCGACGGATGACATTTTGTTCATTAGATTACTGTGGCCTACTAATAACCTAGATGACAAATAGAAACAGTATGATACTCATGGGATCTTATAACCTGGATGATAAGAATATTATCTGGTACAGAAACTACTGGGCACTTTTAAGTAATTTTCTACATTAGGTTAGCGTGTCGATATTTAGAATCAGGTGTGAAGTGAATCTATTTATATTGATTCATATTCATGTCATAAAAATCTTTTATTCAATTTTACCTATTCCCTTTCATAAATTTAAAGACTGATACAAACCTATTTTTAACTCAACGTTATACAAATGTGTCGCCATTTAAAAATATATATATTGACTTATTTAGCTGTTACAGATATATTCATATTTCAACGCATTATCATGCCTAAGAGAATAGCGGTTCAAATAGGCCTATGGAAAGAAAACATGCAAAGCAGTCTTTATTGAAGAAAGGTAGTGTATCCCTTTTCAGCAACGGTACTCACTCCTTCACGATTTTGTACTATACCTATTATTTTCCTGTGTCCGATAGTCCTCTCTTCTAGATCTAGCTGCGTTCTGATCCACGTGGTCCCCTCTTTGGCAGCGGCCTCTAGCCCGAGCGCCTCGCTGTCCGTCGTGTTGCCTGTTGTAGCGCTGGCGGAATGGGCCTCCTCTGGTACCGTCTCTCTCGTCTCTAACTTCCCTTTGAGCTCCCCTATCTCCATCATTCCCCCCTTTTCTCTCAACTTCTGTGTCACTTCCTCGTCTTTGGAGGTTTTCTCCCCTAAATCTTTTAGCCATCATGGGGTCTCCTCTATCATGACTTCCTTCCCTCTTCTGTCTTCTCCATATAACGTTGTCTCGACACGTTGCAGCTCCTCTTCCTTGTCCTCTGGTCCCATCCCTTCGAAATTCTCTTCGTCTACCCCTCCCAAGGTCATCTCCCGAGTAAGGACGAGACGCAAAACGGCCTCCGTTGTCATCACCATCATCACCCCACATCTTTGTCAACTTCTAGATATCTGGAGTATACAGAGAAACATATGATTCTATAAGAACATATGGATTAGGTTTTATAACATATTTGATTTTATTTGAATTGAATTAATCTACTGGCTTATATATTAATTCAAACAAACATACCCATGCCCATTATTATGACATTGATACTACTTGTTTGGGCGTCCTCTGCGGAGATGGCATGATGTGTGTTAAAGAGTGAGTGGAGCCGCTCTTTAAAAATTGACTAAAATTGGCCTAAAATACTTCTTTTGATTTCAAGTTGACACTATATTATTTATAGTATAGTATACAAGTATATACAAACCATCATGTGTGGATTTTTAGAGACATAGACAATCCAATTCTCGCTACCCCAAATAGCGATTCTGCCGAGATCCGGGAAAATCCTGAAAACGCGCGTTGCATTATGGGATAGCTTTTCGACATTACAGCTTCCTGTGCCGTCCTCCACAACAACACAGCGTCGCTTTCGCTCGGAAAGTTCGTGATCACAACCCTCTCTTTCACGGTAGAGTTTAACGGCCTTTTGTGCTAAAGTCACTAATTCTGCCTGAAGCTTTCCATTGCATGGTATTCCTCTGTCCGTTAAGATTTTTTTAAGTTCCGAAACTGTTTTTTTATCCATTTTGTGGTCGACGAGAAATACATGAACTGAGTGTTGTCTCTACACTGTTTACTGTATCGTCTGCTCGTGATTGTGACGCTGGTCGCTACATGCACAATTTTACGACAATTATTTTTTTTTACTTTTAGATTAACAGAAAAAAAACATTGAATAAAAATAAAATCTTTCCTGTAAACTATTTTTTGCTTTTTATTGTATATTCAAATTGAATAAAAACAAACTAAATTTAATGCATATATTATAATCTGTACAAATTACACTGATTGGCATCGATTTTAGCGTGCGTGAAAACTCTGCACAGCGAACACAGGCGCTAGTGCCAGCGGGATGGGACTCTATACCGGAAGTTGTAGTGACGACCCGAGAGAGTGAAAATTACCTCGTCTCGCGAATTTCGAGATTTTCGTACCTATTTAGGGTAGCGAGAATTCGGAAGACATTCCAGAAATTGATCCATCAAGTGGAGCATATAGCCACTTCCTACATGAAACTCATGAGTTACGTTCAATCATGTCAGATAACATTGAATCTATGTTACTTGACATGTTTAGTACAATTGCAGTGCTTGATGCTATATGTGCAAGAAAGTATACATCTTTACTGAGAAAATTATAAAAATTGAATCAAAGCTCGAATGTCTGGATACAAAGCATTCGGATCCTGAGAATGGAACTGGTTTTCTAGAAACAGACATCAGTCAGAGGTTGAGAATGTAAAAGCAACTAAAGCAGATTATTGATATGTAAATGAGCTGAGAAAGAACACCGCCGATCTAGTAAATAGAACTAAGCATAACAAAGTCATCATTCACGGCATACCAGCAGGATTAGAAGATTCCGTATAAACCAAAGATCGCGCACAATAAATGAGTCCATGGTTTTTTGACCAGAACCATCCACGTAGAGCGCTTCGCTTCACTGATCCCGCGTCAATACTAAAGGGGCTTTCACACCGGGCCTTGCGTAGAGTTGCGTAGTGTTGAGTACCGACTACGCCGATCGTATGCAACCCTACGCCGATCCTACGCAACCATACGCCGGCCTACGTAACTGTACGCGGAAGGACGCAAATGGGTACGCGAGCTGGACGTACAAAAATTAACATGTTTAATTTTTTTTCGCGTACCTTCGGCGTTGACACTATACGCAGAAAGTACGCAGAAAGTACGCAAGTCTACGCAACGCTACGCTACTGTACGCCATCCCTACGCAACACTACGCTACCCTACGCCAGTCCGACCACAGCACACAAGTGAATGCTGATGGTGAATGATAATATGGGTTTATATGAACTGTGAATCATAAGAAATTTTTAATCGGTGTTTCAGGGTGATGAAATACTGTTATTGTTGCTGTGATTTTTAATGTATGATAACATGCATCTTGTGATTATGTTCATGTATAATAACATGTCAAAGTCCTGTTAAATTACACACTTTAATTTTCAGAGTGTCAGCAGGAGTTTATTGTTAATTTTTAGACTGTTTTTATCATTATGGTAATCATTACTTCGTGATTCAGAAGAACTAATGTAATTTGTGTTGGTTATTTCCATTTAAACTTCACGGTTTAAATTTCACAGTGTTATAGCAGGAGTTTAAAAGTCAGATTTTTTTTTCCCGACAGTCATTATTACTGAAATTATAACTTAATTCACGATCAAGTTATCTGGTAATTATGTTCATGTCTAATAACATGTAAACGTCTTTTAAATGTCACAATTGTCTAACTGATTTTATTAAAGCATTCATTACCTCATGATAAAATTATCGTTGCGTAACAATATGCAAACGTTTTTGTAAATCCAGAGTGTCAGCAGGAATGTGCTTGATACACTTCTTGTTATACAAAACTGTACATTAGTGAATTCAAGTTGTAGTATTTACAAGAATATCAGTCATGTTAATTTCTTCCACATCTAGGTGAAATTTTATTTGATCGATTTCTTTTTCTGTTTACAAATAATCTCGCCCTTTTAGTAATTTGGTTTTGAAATCAGCATCAATATTTTGTAATACTTGAATGTTTAATATTTTTGTTTACATGTGTGCGTTCTCACATTTATTTTTTTCATCAAGAAAAGGTGTTTCTTTGACTTTATTTTGTATTCTTAATATTAAAAGGTATTTCTGCCTGACATGTTTTGCTTTGTTATGGTTTATTCAATTTGTGATTTTTATATCTCAAGGGGGGGAGATAAGATTCACAAACGGATGCCTCACGCGAAATGTTATTATGTTTTGTGAAAATCTGTATGTATTTGTGTGGGTTCATTTGCTCGTGTGTACGTTTGTGGAACTGTTATTATGTTTGTAATATAATTTTGTTTGATTGTGGGGACTACACCGAAGCATCATTATATTCATGAATACGCAGCCTAACTTCGGCGTAGTCGGTACGCAACACTACGCAACTATACGCAGATCCGATGTACAAGGGGCTTAATGCCCGTGTCACACTATACCGAAGTTGACATAAGATGGACACACGATGAAGGAACATTCTAAATTCGGCTCTGATCGTAAACACATCGGGCCATATCGGGCCATTCGTGAGGGCATCAGAGGCAATCGTATCACTGCCGGTCGATTTGTCAGGCTCCGGCAGCAGCTTCGTGAGCGGTGGCAAAATCTTTGGCGTGCCAATATTCGTGTTGTATTCGTGAGTCCGTGTTGCCCTTCGTAGGGTCATCGTGAGGGCATCTTGTCAAATCGTGTCATCTTCGTAATTACTTCGTGTGATCATCGGTGTCATCGGGCTCTTATCGCCTCACGAAGACAATACGAAGGAAACAAGAACCTGCCCGAATGTCTTCGGAAGGCAACACGACTACGTGAAACCCTCGCATTGCCATCTTGAAGCCATCGTATTATAGTACGATGACATCCAGATGGGACAACGGTGTCGCCGAAGACACCGAATTTAAGTAGCTCAAGCGTTTCCCATGTGTCATGGTAACGTGGACATATGTTGCAATAAGCTATAATTCTCGTATCTATACTGATTTGTTTTTCAGATTCAATATAGCATGTTATGCAATGTTTTATATTACATTATGTGTTTTTAATTTTGCTTGTAAACTTTTGTTATTCGGCTAAACGTCGCGATGAAAGCTTTATTTGAAATAAACCATTTTGAATGAATGAATAAATGAATATAAAAAGCCAGCCTCATAGCCAGAGGCTTTTTCAAGTACCCCAAAAGTGCCCTTTCTTACGTAGGAAAGTGCCCCTATAACTTCACAAGAAGTGCCATTTTTTACAGAGCAAAAGGGCCCATTTTACCAATAAAAAGTGCCCATTTCACTTTTGACAAGTGCCCCTTTACACCTCTGATAATTACCCTGTTCAAAGTTGAGAGGTGCCCCTTTTACTTTGACCAATGCTTCTTTTCCTTTGTAGGAAGTGCCTCTTCCCATTTTAATAACTACCCACTTTAACTACCATATAGCACAGCTTTTATTTTCACGTGTGCCCCTTTTCCAATCTAATAAGTGACATCTTTTCCGTATGATAAGTACCCCCATTAAAACAAAAGAGCTCTTTCCCCTTCTCATAAATGCCCCCCTTTTAACCTAATAAAAGTGTCCCTTTTCATTCTCATAAGTACCCCCTTTCCATATCTAGTCAGTGCCTCTTTTTAGGGGCCATAAATGCGCCTTTACACCTCTGACAATTTCCTTTTTAACAATGATACGTGCTCTTTTTCCTTTCTAATATAAGTGGCCTATCCCCTTTTCATTAATTCCTATCTTCAACTCTTATGAATGCCTCTATCAAAATCTGATGGGTGCCCCAATTCAGTCGACAAATTCCCATTTACCATTCTCAAGTGCCTTTTTAATGGTTCCATGACATTTGCTCCGCGAAATTTCCTCCGACGTCAAATGCTCTGCCGACACTTGCTCCGCCAACAATTTTTTTATCACGGGTTATTTTGGTTTCTTTTTTTCTTCATTTTCTGAATGCATTTCATGAAATAATGTAGATGAAATGAAATGAATGAATGTTGATGATGTGGGAAGAAAAAGGAGTTACCTAAAAGGAATTTCGAATATACTGAAATAACTTTCCATTTATCACTTAACGTCCCATATAATGTACACTCACACTCATTACATGTCGTGGGAAGTTTTTAAAAAAAGTGGAGCAGCAAGCCACATTCCCCAATACGCGCATACCTCCTAGTTAATTTCAAACAGCTCATCAATATGTAAAGGCCCGGTCACACAGGGGGGACGCATGGGGAACGCATGGCCAGCGCATTGGAAATTTGCAATTTTGGCCAGTGCGTTGTCGTGCGCCCAACTTTTGTCGAAGCTACAGCGAGCTGACACCAAATGCATAGCGTGTTGC